ATCGAATGGCGGACGTGTAGTTGTTAGTGGCGTGTGCGCGTAAAGTTTCATGATTTAAGCCGCTCCATTAATAATTTTATATAATTTAAAGTGTGTTGCTGATAAATTAACTTAACAGTGTTCTTTTTAAGTAAAAGATAAATGGCGGCGGTGCCTTATTAATTGTTTATATAAAGTGCGCACAACTTCTAAGCATCGTATACATGCCTTACGCTTTGCGATCACAAGGTCAAGAACTTGTAATGGCAGGTGATAGTGAAAATCAACCTTCAAATAAAGATATAATGCAATTCTTAAAGGAATTAAAAACGGATTACGCTTCTAGAGAAGATGAACTTATCAAATCCTTAAACGTATGTCATGAAAAACTCGATGAAAACAGCTTGGAACTAAGTAGACTTAACAAGCGGCTGGATGCATATTCCGAAACAATAAACAATCTTAAAACTGAAACGGCGAGTTTACGACAGGAACTATCCTCTTGTTACACACAAATAGATAATCTGGAACAGTATACCCGCCGAAACTCTATTGAAATACATGGAGTGCCGTATATGAAAGGAGAGGATAGTTACGCAATTGTGCAAAAAATTGCATCAGCGCTCGCAATTCCAATAACAAAACAATCAATTGATGTTTGCCATCGTTTAAGAACCCCAAGTGAGAAAAATCATGCAGCGATTATCTGTAAGTTTGTAAATCGTTACACCAAAGAAGAGTTTTTAGCCAAACGGAAAGTCAAAAGGAATTTATCCACAACAGATATAGGAACGACCATCGGTAGCACCATATAAGTGAACGAAAATCTGACTCCGCACCGTAGAAAGCTGCTTTTTAAATTACGTCAACTTCAAAAGGAGATGAAATTTAAGTTTACGTGGACCAAAAATGGAAACATTTTCGCTAGGAGAGATGAAGAATCCCCTATTCGCTGTATTCAATCCACTGAGGATCTTGATCTTATTAAGTCCGGGGGTCTTTAGTATGAGTTAGTTTTGCTTCTGAAACTGTTTTTTTTTTATATGTTATGTTTAGTCAACCATATATTCACCTTTATATCAAGAAATGGTTATCATTCGATTATTGTATGTTTATCAATCACCGATGTTAAATTTTGTTTTGTTATGGAATAATAATTTTAGGTTATTGTCATGTTTGCGTACTTAAATATTGCACATTTGAATGTTCGTTCTTTATTGGCACATTTTTCAGAATTCAAAGATATGTTGCAGGCAGCCAGTTATGACGTACTAGGAGTTACTGAAACCTGGCTGACGGATCAAATAAATACTGACGTAATTCAGATTCCGGGATACAATTTCATACGTATTGACCGAATTACTACCACTCGCGGGGGCGGGGTAGGTATGTACATAAGAACCGATTTACATTTTGATGTACTGCCCATAGATCCTAATAATCAAATTTTAGAACAACTGTGGATTAACTTAAAACTGAATAAAACAAATTTAGTCCTCGGAGTAATGTACAGAAGGCAGGAATTTGCAGGTGCTGAATTCTTTGAAGCTTTTGAGGATTCACTATCCATTGCGATAACGTACGGTAGTCGTATTCTTTACATGGGAGACCTAAACATCGATCTATTGAAAGTTGATCACGCTCTTTCGATTCAGATGATGTCTTTGTTACACACGTTTGGTCATAAACAAATCATAGATGTGCCGACGCGGATTGGTAAAACTTGTAGCACACTTATTGATTATATGGTAACTTCCGATGACATTGATGTATTAGAATCCGGTGCAACTTGTATGGATGGTATTTCAGACCATCACTTAGTATACTGTAAATTTCCTACAATCTGCTTAAACAGTTATAGTCCTACTTATTACACTTACAGAGACTTTCGTAGATTTGAT